TCTCAAACATAGTAATATACAACATTTATAAATAGGTATTAAAAACTAAAGAGTTTAATTATCACATATTCCTATAATAAAGAAGACATCATTAAATTATTATGAATAGATTTTTATCAATATTATTTATAGGTTTGTTTTATATGTATTGTTTGTCAAAGTGTTGATTTATTATCGAAATTACACCAAATTCATAACAGGTATTAACAATATTAATTTGACTGTTAAAATTGTAAATCGATAAGTTTTATGAATTTGAATTTAATCTTCTTGCAGAGGGAACTTAGTTAAAAATATAAATATATAACGTAATATTTTATCAAAACATATATTAACTATAAAAGTGAAATTATACTATTATATTTAAATTATATTTTTGTTAATAACAAGTGAGTATTGGTGTTGAAAAGTACATTAATATTGAAAAAAAAAATTAGAATATTCCTTGTGTGTTTATTAGATTGCTTAAACTTTTTAAATTAAAAAGCATCTTTCTTATGCATTTTCTAAAAAGATTAGTAGGGAAAATTTATATCCATCAGTAGATTTACGAGCAGCAGGTAACCTTAAAAGGCTCGCACTGAAAGGTTTCCTTACGAAACATTTAATAAAAATTATGCCCTATAATACGAGTAGGTATATACATTTTGAGGAAAAATGTTCGCGAAAATGTAGAAAACATGCATTGTGAACTTGCTCCAAATCCGGCTTAGAAATTACACCTGTGTCCATCAACGGGACGAACATAGACTGTACTTTTGGGTACTTTAAAATTTCATTATAGCAACAAAAATTTATTAATTATAAAACCTGTATGTACTATTAGACGTTTTGTAGTTGACTAGTTGATAGTTTTAATGTATGAAGTTGTAGTATTGACGAAAAATGGTTTACAATATATTATTTTATACAATTAGTATGAAAACATTTAGAAACAGCGTGGTAGCGATCACCTCCTTCCCAGGGATTATTATGAATAGAGTTGGGCCGAATATGGACTTCACCGAATACAAATATTCGGCCAAAACTTTTACCGAATCTAATATTCGGCATTGCATTATTCGGCAGGATCACCTCGGTATCTAACCAATTTATGTCGCAACTTGTTAACATAAAGTGCGCGGGATTAGCGCTGGACCCCGCCCCTCGCTCCACCGCCACACTTAACATGTTATTGCATCATATAGTACTGAGTAAATTGCTGACAAAATCTTATGTTTTGACTATTTTGTGTGAAAATTGAAGTGAAAATGAAATTTCGTTGTGTTATTCTTAGTGAAAATTAATAATTATATGATAAAAATACGTGGCAGGAGATCTACTATTTGAACTTATTTTAAAGAAACTGAGACCAAAGTAAAATTAAATGTACTAATGTAATATAATGAGTATTTGTTTGATTCCAAAAACATTTTATTAAGCTTTCTATTTGCTATAATTGGAAATAAATTACAGTGCCTCAAAAACATAACGCTATACAAGTAGATTTAACCCATAAATAAAATATGCTATCAACGGTAAAATTATGAAAGACATGGCATTACTCAATTCGTACATTGCAATACAGTGGACACTTTGAGTACCGAATGTTCGGTGATTTAGCCGAATATTCGGTAAAGCTGCCGAAAATGCCGAATACCGAATATGAAACAAATATTCGGCAAATCTCTTATTATGAATCATGTACTCTATTAGTATAATAACCCTTCTTAAACGATATTTGCCTCATACGAAACTTATACATTTTTATGATAGGTCCTGAATTTTAGTAATATGCAGCACATAATTGGTAACATTGAAAATAGATATTGGGTTTGTGATAGGCTATCCACCTATCGTTTCTTCAAAAATTGTCCTCCTATACATATTTTGGGTAAACGAGGTCTGACTAGCTCTCTACTGTTTGGTTCTTGCCTACCTCCTCAGAGATTACAGGTGACAGAATAGGCATCTATATATACATAGCATGTATGATTGTATGCGTGTTGACTTTACAAGTGTTAAAGTTCTAACTGTCGTTGTATACGGTGTAGTGGCAGCGTGATGTCTACTACCCCACGTGGCTTCGCGGGTATCATAACAGGTGACAGGGAGAAATAAATCACGGCATGGCCAGTAGCATCTTTTTAAGCAAAACTAAAAATGGAAAAATTCCGCTTGCCAACCCGTCTACCAAGTGTGGCAGCTATGGCAAACAGAGGAGTACCCTGTGGCATGAAGCAATCTGTGGAAGAGTACCATGTTCAGCAGTGGATTCTACTCAGGGTGTAAGGTTAACTCTTACAAGCATAATTAAAGCCAAAATGTTGCTTTATAATTATCACAAGCTTCTGTACCTAATATACTCTATATTAAAGGAAAAAGTTACCCACGCTACTGAAAATAATAAACTACGCCGTTGCTTTTTTATTGTTTAAGATATTATTCCATTAAAATAAAATATTGTTTTTTTTTTCTTATTTTACAAACATGCAGGTTTTCTCATGATGTCGAAATATATTTCGAAGACATGTGAAGTTCGCCAACACGCATTGGGGCAGTGCGGCGGACACTTCCGTGCCCTAAACCCTCTTATAAATGAGGGGAGGCCTGTGCCCAGTAGTGGGACGTATTTGGCTATAAATTTGAGTATTATTTGCTGCGTTAGAATTTTGTGCCATCTGAAAGGGGGAAGGCGCTTCTTGTAACACAATTTAAAACAAAACTTTTTTTTTGTTTAATTTATGTATGCATCAGTTGTGTTTCCTACACAACAATATTTTTAAACGCTAATAATATTTTTTTATAATTTTCTACTACGAGCATTTTTGTCTGAAGAAAAAAATGTCAAGTTTATCCGTATACGGTACTTCTGGTTTACTGAAGGTGGCCCTGGTATCTTAAAAAAGCTCATCTAAAAATCGTAAAATGCATCACCCACCCTTTTATAATTGTAAGTATCGACAACTCCTTCAAGAAGTGTTAAGTGTATATTTTTGGGAAGGCCTCTTGATTTGATTCCTGATTGCTGCCTAGTGAAGATCGTGAGATGATGATGACTTTTTGCACAAAAACAACGTAATTTTAAGAGGACGCTCAAAATAACAATTACAAAAACATTCAAAAAATTACTACCTAGTAGAGCCACGTTATTTTATTCCTGGTAAAGCCACACTATAACTACATTATGGTTGTAGCACGAATGGGTCGGTTCAATCTTGGAAGAATCACGCTGTCACAGAATATCAGCGTCAAAAAGGAGATTAATGAACAAAAGTTGGAATACCCACTACCCCATATCGAAAACTGAAACAGGATATATGTAGCAGCATCTTCCTCATAACAACTGTAAGAAATAAAAAAACTGCGGCTGTCGATCCGCATGCTAAGCGTGGCAACTGTGCTAAGCTGCCCCTATGGGGCAATCTGTGGGAGAGGACTCTGTTCAGTAATTTTAGAGGCCATAATTGATGGATAATTGTACACCTACAGTAGTACCGTGTAATACATAGTGTAACCATCCATGTTTCCCTCTCAATGTCTCTTTCTCTCTCTCTCTCTCTCTCTTTCTTATAATATTTGCTTTGGTACATTTAGTTAGTAATTATGATATTGATTTTTTATAAAAAATAACTAATTTGTTTTTAATGAATACGTGGATGAACTATGTACTGTATTATGCAAATATGCGCCGAATAAAATTAACTAAGCGTCAGAAACATAAGAGAGATAAATTGTGAGACGGAAACAAATCCTAACGTTCAAACGTAAAAAGTAGAGTTAGACTCTGGACGCTCTATTTAAACTTAAACTTAAACTTCCTAAAATTGACACATTAAAGTAACTTCCGTTTGTAAAGCAATATCATAAAACGATACAAAAATTAACATTAAATTATCTATACCGTCTACACCACTTGTATACTTGGCGGACAACCACAATGCGATTTTTAGAAGTTTTCTACCTCGCACGACTAGCTGTCACCAGCAATTTTTCTAGATTAATACAAATTAGTGATATTATATAAAATAGCCAACCCCTGTTTAAAATACCTAAGTTTTGCAATGCAAGGGCTTCATGGACGGTGCTAGTCACCATCAGCAATCGTCTCCGTCATCATCAACCGTCGAGACAATCAATAAAATTAAACTAAAAATAAATAAATAATTTGTTCCTAAAATAGAGCTACAAAGCTGAAACTGCGGGATGGTTTATATAACATGGATTCCTTAGTTATGTTTTTGGTAAAGAAATATCCTTTCGCTAAAAACAGACCAGATCTAAACGAACGTTTGACCAAGGAATTAAAATGTTAGCTTAGGTTTATGATACTTAGTAGACCGTTGACCGTTTTTAATTTATCACATTTGTGGGCAATAATGAGCTGTAAGACTGTAGAGTATTTTGATGTCTATTTAGGTATTACAAGTAAGGAGTGCGTAATTTTACGTATTAAAATTAATAAATAAATAATGAATAAACTATAGTTATGTTAGTAGCTATTTTAAGTTAAGTAAAATTCAAAATCTTGTCTATGTCTTTTCTTTACTGAAAAATAAAGAAGTATTTTTATCAATCAAATAAAAGTTTATTAGTAATCTGAAAATATTTATTACTTATAGGTAGTAATTAATTTTATATATTTTTGAAATATTTTTAGACTATGCTTTTATTTTTAAATTTTGTAATTTATTCATAGTGTAGGTTTGATATATCAAATCTATTTTCCAGAAATCTAAAATAATAACTAATTTTTTTTTCATGAATAATGATTTTAAGAGTTAGTTGTTCAATATTACGCATCATTATGTTCTTATAATTTTGTATACCAGAGGTATTTTAAGAAGACTGTATTTAAAATTTTAAGTACTGATTTAAATAAAGTCTTACCCATACCGCGGCGAGCGGGCGACCGCGCTCTCCGCACCGGCTCATTTCTTAAAGTTAATCAACTTTAAATGAACCCCCGACCTCGCGGCCAACTTTCTGCCTTAACTTGTACCGTGAGGGTTTCATTTCAGATGGCAGAGCGAGCGGTGGGCGGTGCTCGAGGAGAAATCTGGCCAATAGAGTGCGGTAACAAAATATCCGTATTGGCTATTAGCGAGGCCCCGCCCGCCTGCCGCTCGTCGGTGCAGCTGCAAAACGTCGTATACTGCTGGGTTTTCGTGACGCTTGTGTCGGTTTGGTACTGGTGGAGGGTGAGGCGGCCGGGGCCGAGGGTGGCGAGTCGCGACTCGGCGGGCGGGCCGCAGACGCGCTCCGGACGCCGCGGCGAGCGCTCCTATCGCTGTATCATCGTATACCATTCGCAAAATCACGCGACTCGCCGTCCACTTGGCCAAATTCGTATGTACCGCTCTACATCGCGACGCGATCGGCCTAACAGACGAACCTAAAGTATATATTAAATCATAGTTTTAACTAATTTTATAGTGATAGAACTATTTTAGTGAATAAAAACCAAACGAAGAGGTTGTGTTGAAAGGAAACAAACCACGGACGGTAATCACGTACGGCAATTAGACAGTTATGTAAAGTTGGGAGCGAATCTGAACAAGATGCAGGCGATGAGCGCGAACGCGAGCGCACCGAGAGCACCGCAGCGTTCGCCATTTGCCATCCAAGAGCTGCTTGGGCTGTCGGATGGACGAGATGGCCGCGACAGCCGAGAGCGGTACGATGGTGACGGCCATTCTGCCCGCGATGGCCGCGGCCATTTCGCTCCCCAGTTCCCGTTACCGGCGTCCGTGGCCAGTCGAGTGGCTTACGCGGCCGCATTCAACGCCCAAGCAGCAGTCGCAGCTGCCTTCCTTCCAGGACCACCGCTACTGCATGCGCCGCCCGGTAAGTCAGGCTACCCCCGCTGTTCACCAACCGACCCTTGCACAGAAAAGTCCAACACACCCGTTTACCTAGATAAATATTTAAAACAAATTGAATTGCAGCAACTAAAAGGCCACCGACAAAGCTTATTGCTGCAGCAACAGAGTTACCACAGCGCTGATAAAATATCAGCGCTGCGAGACCACATATTACACAAATACTACGCTCTGTAGCGGCATTTCCACGGCACTAATTAAAAAATTTTTAGTTTGCAATAAAATATTAGCAGGCAATTTAGCGTTCCCTTGAAACAAATCCTATACGAATATCAATTCCTATAAGGTTTTTACGTTAGTTTTAACGGAACGTGGAGGCAATTGATTAAGCACAATTGCATAAGTTCTCCGTCGGAGCAGACAAGCCGATAGAGTAAAACAATAGCGTGTTCAAGCGCTTTGTGACGGCATAATTAGCGCGTGTGGCGGGCCCTTTGTGAACGCGCCGTCTCGGGTTACGTGGTGTGGTACGACCTTAACACAACCGGCGAACTCGCGCTGCATATTTCATAATCTTAAAATTATTGCATTAAAAAAATTTAAAGTTGGTATCGTATTTTAATAAATAGTATAATAATAGAAAGTATTGCAACTTAAAAAATACATTTTAAAACGATTGCCTTTAAGAGTTTGTCATAAGCACTCAGTAGGTTTAAGTTTAACTTCATCAAACAAAATAGTTTTCTTCCTGTCTTTTTATACTTAATTTGATAAATAAGTTTTGATGTAGTAGATATTTAGCCAGTAATTAGTACTTAGTATTATCGTAGTTTATGCGAAATTTGAACCTTAAATATTTTTTACTAATGCCATCAACCAATTTCCTACAAATAACTTCTAATCATTTTAAAACTACTAAAAAGTAATACTTATATCGTATTTGAGCGATAAATTTGTATAATTTATTACTTAAAAATTTGTTATTCCTATTTGAATCATAAACGTTAAAGATTAAATTAATTACGTAATTTTACTTAGCCTGAGGTATAAAACATTAGGTTCTTTAAATAATTTTACAATTATAACCAATTTTGAAAAGTATTACAAATTAAAGTTTAATAAGTATTTGTGTGTGATGGTTTCGATGCAATTAATTTGAATATTCAAGCTTGAGATCAATTAAGTACCTATAAACATTTGTTGACATACATAAAGTTAAAATATAATTTATGCTATGAGGTTTCAAAATTACTGATTCAAATGGTCTTTATCCTACCGACTCGCAGTTAAAACAATAAAAAAAATATTACAGTTTTTTCGTACGCAGAAATTGCAATAAACTTTCATTAAATAAATGTATAATAGACACAAAATAATGATTTTGTGACAATATTTGTTATATAAATTACAAATGAGGTAAGGAAATGGAAATATTTCGGTATGTCTAATATATCTGCCTCTCCAGTTTCCCGTCGGCCGCGCGCCGTTGTGCGCCGCATATTTCCCAATTTATTAACACTACAAAATATTTAATCATATTCGTACTTGTTTCCTTACAACATAGAGATTTTTGTACACTGTAAATTATTCAAGGTTCGTAATTATAATTTCATTTTGATCTTATATTATTTTGGCTAGCATCTCATTATTTGCACACGTTCCGGCCAGGCGGAGCCATGCTACAGCCATATCATGATTGTAGCACGAATGGTTCGGCGCGCCCGGGGAAGGCCCACGCTCTCGCAGAATACCAACGTAAAATAGCAGCTCAATTCTTCTGTGTTTCATATGGCGAGTGTAGACCGCTAGACCCTTTTTATTTGAAACGAGGCAGTCGATCTTAGTCCTCAGGATGACAACGCATCTGTATTTTGGTTCTTAATCTAGGATAGGTGTAGATGTCTATGGGCCACAGCATTCACTTACTATCAGGTGGACTGTGTGCTCGTTCGTAGCGTTGATTCCATTAAAAAACCCATCTCTTGGTATCATTTATCTTTGAACTCTCTCTCTGTTGCCTCTTACGACATCCATGGAGTGATGAGGAGCAATGGATATTCTTTTAACGCCACGGAGAGAGTCGAAGATCAACTTATTCAATTATATATGTTTGGTTGAATCCATACAAATATGAAGTGTATATATAATAAAAATACGTGTGTGTCTTGGTACATTACAAATATAGAGGTAACTGCTACTCTACATGTAAAACTGACATTAATGACAGAAAGTAAAGCTCAAAAAGGAAAAATTATTATAGGTACATGTACCTGTAGACGTTAATATCGAAACCATAGACTCTGATAAATTTTAATCTGTAAAATACAGTCAGTTTATATTTTTAAATGTAGGTTCTTAAACATTTATATGTACGTTGCTAAATATCTAATCATTTTATTTTTATGAAAACAATTTTGAACAATGTGAATATGATTTCGATTGTATCCAAATATTGAGTACTAGCTGTAAATCTTAGTTCCACCCCATAAGGGAGTGAATTTTTCAAAATTCTTTGCAAGTGTATATTTACGAGTACGTAGAGAGAGGAGTACTATATATATCAAATTCCTAGTCAAATTGAAAAATGCAAGGTTATTTTTTAAATAATAGCCAAATTTTAAACTCAAGTTCAAATACATAAACAACGATATTGCAGTTTTAAATTGCACAGTGCGCTGCCTAGCGGCAACAATGAAATTATTAATTGCAATTATAAGCACTGATTTATCACGTGCTAGCCGGCGAAGAAAGCCATTGAGAGCAGCGATTTTAAATGTTCTTTGATCGAAACGCATTGGTGCAACACGGTCGATACTTCCTTAACCTTTTATTATAGGATAAGGGTGACAAACAAATCACAGTCAACGTGATTGTAAGTGGATGCTGTGGCCTATATACATCTACATCTATTCTCGATTACGAGTTAAAATGCAGATGCGTTGTTACCCCTAAGGACTCAAATGGAATGTCTCGTTTCCACTAAAAAGGAACTTCAGTTCTCTATACTCACTATACGAGACACAGTAACGTTTAACTGTTATTTCCTTCGGCCTCGTTCTGTGGGGGTATTAAACTTAAAATCTTTGTTCTGTGCCCAGAAGCGGGATGTCTTAGGTTGTAAAAAAAGTACAAGCTTGATTTTACTTCAGTGCTTATATTGAATTTATTTTGTCGATTTTCTTATTAATCACCTAATACTAAATGATACAAAGGTTGGATTTGATGCCTTATGGCATTTTCTGGCAGTCAACTGTTGAGAAGTTGTGTATATAAATTACTTAATATATTTTCTAAAAGAATATTAACAATGTTATAAACATTACTAATATTCCCCTTAACCGCTCGTGGTAAGCTTAAAAGCTTGAAAAGAGGCATTCCATCTTAGTCCTCAAGGCTGACAACGCATCTGCATTTTGATTCGCAAACGAGGATAGATGTAGATGTCTATAGGCCACAGTAACCACTTACCATCGGGTGGACTGTGTGCTCGCTTGTCACCCTTTTCCTATAAAAAAATTCTATTCTGATAATGATAAAACGTACATTAAAAAATACGTGGATACTAAACATCTTCTATATAATGTCGACCGAGAGCCCATATAATTACCGGCTCTGAAGCGTTTCATCTAAGGCCTAGGAAGTTAGAACATATCTGTGGCATTGCTTGTTGAAGTCGGTTGCAGATTTCCATGGGCTAGATTAACATACATAACATATCATCAGGAAGAACAGTTCGTTGTTCACTATATGATGAAAAACGACTGAAAATAAGGTAACAGGGTCCATTTATAAAATATTTCATCGCAATGATTATATTTTCAGTGTTTATTACAGTTAACCAAAAGTCCTGTACCAAGAAATAAGTCTCCCCTATATATTACCTCATAAGGCGAATATCTGCAATTTATTATTATTATTATTTGCATAATGTGTGTGTTTAACAGTTATTATAAAATATTATTATACAGTACAACATATGAACCGTTTCCTGTGTACCAAATTATTAACAATTGAGGTACTACTAAAATTATAAATAATAAAATAAAATAACAAATAACAATTTTACAACATTGCGTAACAACAACAAAAAACGAGAAAATTGACCAGCGGTTGCCACGCTTTGCAGGGTTGGCAATTGCCGATTTTTATTATTTTGACCTGTTAACGGGAGATGGCTGTCTCAATTCTCTCCGTCGCGTCGCTGCTTCTGTAACCCACAAGATGATATAGGATTTTAAAAATACTATCTATAAACATTCTGCAACATTCATAATTAGGTGCAATTTATTTTTTTAACGTATCGTTAACTTGTAATTATTGGCCATTACAAGAAAATATGTGGTAGAGCGACGCTGCAGCTATATTTTGTGGTAGAGCGACGCTGCAGCTATATTATGTGGTAGAGCGACGCTGCAGCTATATTATGTGGTAGAGCGACGCTGCAGCTATATTTTGTGGTAGAGCGACGCTGCAGCTATATTATGTGGTAGAGCGACGCTGCAGCTATATTATGTGGTAGAGCGACGCTGCAGCTACATTATGTGGTAGAGCGACGCTGCAGCTATATTATGTGGTAGAGCGACGCTGCAGCTATATTATGTGGTAGAGCGACGCTGCAGCTATATTATGTGGTAGAGCGACGCTGCAGCTATATTATGTGGTAGAGCGACGCTGCAGCTATATTATGTGGTAGAGCGACGCTGCAGCTACATTATGTGGTAGAGCGACGCTGCAGCTATATTATGTGGTAGAGCGACGCTGCAGCTACATTATGTGGTAGAGCGACGCTGCAGCTATATTATGTGGTAGAGCGACGCTGCAGCTACATTATGTGGTAGAGCGACGCTGCAGCTATATTATGTGGTAGAGCGACGCTGCAGCTATATTATGTGGTAGAGCGACGCTGCAGCTATATTATGTGGTAGAGCGACGCTGCAGCTATATTATGTGGTAGAGCGACGCTGCAGCTACATTATGTGGTAGAGCGACGCTGCAGCTACATTATGTGGTAGAGCGACGCTGCAG